GATTTTTCCGATCTAATAATCCGATGTAATCTGACCTGTTTAAATCACATGATACTACCTGGCTTTAGTGCATCCCCAAATTTGGTAATAGTGGGCGATGATTCCGAGAATGTAATTTTCGATGATAATATCTATCATATTGATGCATACAATGTTAATGAAATAAAAATGTCACATCAAGAGATTTTGACTATAATTAAACTAGGGGCTAAGTTAGTCACCCAACATACATTTTTCTGACAAATTTATTTTCTATGATGTATATTAATTTCACGTGGTTGACAAGAGCCGATTACACGTTAACCAATGGCAAGTGATTCCGGGAAATCGGACATCTTCAATCTCAATTGAATAACTGAATGCCTTCTTTTTCTGCACAACAAGGTTTCCCTTTATTGGCAGATTTGTATAGAAATTTGATCCTCTAAACTCGACATCCAAGTATATGATATATAAATATATAGCATATTTCTCGTACAGTGAAACTTTGATCGTTTATTGCCATAAAGTTCTCACTTCAAGTTTTACTGTATTGCGATACGATGTAAGAGAAGCAACAGTAAGCGGTGTAACCCTTTGAAGGGAACAGCATTGACTCGCTTATTGGACCCGAACGTATCCTTTCTCGGAATCATTACATTTTACGTATTCCTAAACTCGTTATGTATTAGGTTTTTTGGTCTAGTCTCTTTGTTCATTTACGGCAATGACGAGTTCACAAAAGGATTGCTCAATGCTGTCAACAAAGAATGTTATGGTAAGTTCAACCAAAGAGATGGCAGCCGAAAAAGAATACAGTAGAATAATGATGACAAAGACAATATTAAACTAGAATCTGATATAATATTAACAAGTCTATAGATAATATGTTTTTTTTATGTTATTATAGTAATCGGTGGTACACACTTTCAGTGGTTGTGATTTTAAAATAAACGTTATTCGTTATTATTATTCCTTTTTTTGTAAAGCGTTTGTTCCGACAAATTGTTTTTGAAATTACACATGTGTTTTGTATAAAATGGACAGGAATGGTGGGGGGAAATGATTTCTTCTAAGAATTCGATATCAAGCGAATTTTTCTTAACCATAATAAGGAAAAAAAAAAAAAAAGGATAGTTAAATAAAAATTTTGAAAATTTTTATTTATTAAAAAATCACCCATTTAATCATTCAGAAAGAATCTTCTTGAGTTGTCCACTGCTATTCTTGCCGGAACACGATAAGCATGTCCCTGGAGTCAAAAAAAATTTCTTCGATCAAAGGTACCAAACGGACCAGCTGTGTTCTCGAAAAGGTAAATGTTAAATGCATGTAATTTTTCCTTTGCGGTAATAATCCTACGATTTGCTCATCGTAAAATTACCGTGTATTAGGTTGGAAGGTATATAAGAAAATCCGTTAAATCTGTGACAAATTTACCAAATGAAGATAAAATCAATTCAGGTAAACTTGAAACATTCTTCTGCGTTCGTGAGGTGTTTTATCCAATTGACGTTAATCCTCTCTTTTGCTCTTTTATTTTTCAGAGCGCAAGCTTCACCTACTGTTCGCATCCTTCAGATGTTCATGCGTCCAACCTTCAACACTATCTCCAACTTCACCGATACGGCCACATTCGATGCCTTTATATCAAGATCAACCAAATGAGCATACAGCAGAAAGACGAATATCACATGAGCGCGTATTGCGCGAGCGCCCCTCACACGAACTTTCATCGCAGAACGTAACACTAGAAAGCATAAATGAAGAACGTTTGATACTGAACTCTATATCAGAAAACATAAATGAAGAACGCTTGATACTGAACTCTATATCAGAAAGCATAAATGAAGAACGCTTGATACTAAACACTATATCAGAATTCCCGATTGATCAAAGAACTTTGTCAACATCCTCTTCAGACTCGGATTCTACATTATGTCCTCCTGAAGTCTTGGAATCCTGTGACACATTTAGCGTCTCCGAGAGATCAAGAAGGCGTTGGGGTTATGTCAAGCCCAATGATTATTTATCACCGTATATGATATATGCGCAATATTTTTCGAGAAACTCAAATTTAGAAACAGGGTCATTCACTTCAACGCCAACCTCATTAATGTTATTACGTTACCGAAAACGATATAGTCGACGAAGAAATGGATTTATCGCTCCACGTACAGGAATACCAAAGGAACTACCAGCTTTTGAGGATTCTTTCTTATCATACTTGAGCTAAGAATTAAAAAAACAAAAACAAACATTTATTTTATGAACACTTTACTTCTTGGGCATGGGACCAATCCTACGAATTTAATATTAGCATTGCTTGTCATTGCCATATTTAAATTTGTTACATTGTATTTTTATTTTTTTTTTGACAAAAAAAATTGTAACATAAAAAAAAAACGAAATCAGAATGTACGCGAAAAAAAAAAAAAAAAGAAAAAACGTGAATAAAAATTTCGGGTTTCTTTTCGGCGTAAACAATTAGGACCGATGCTCCGTCAATATAGCACGGATCGAGTATTTTTAATTTCTACATACAGATTTTGTCTAATTTTCTTTTTAAAAACATCTGAAAATCAAAATCCTCATAACGTATCGTCTCGATAGGTACAGCAGTTTAACCCAAGCGAATCATTTGCATTGCTAGAATAACGTGATGTGATTTTTTTTTGTTCGCGATCAAACTCACATGTCAACTTGGCGCTAACCCCATTAGCCAAATCTTTCTGCGTCCGGAATTCCCTTAATGTGCAATTAATTACTTTTAATAATGAATAATTAGTTACATCCGAATAAGGTAACGCTTAGTATAAGCATATTTCCACTTATTGTATATATAGTGAATGAAGGGATGCGACTTTCTTCGTCCGTCTCTACTATTCTTTGATAGAATATCCTTCTTTTAAATCCATCCTATCACCCTTCTCTCGAAATAGGATATCAACGCAGCATGCACCTATTTTACTACTAACATTCGACACCCTTCAACATTCCAAACTTCGTTCAAATCTCAATTTATTCTCCTCCCTCTAAGCTCGTTGACACAGAAAGAGAGAAACAAAACTCAGTTCATTAGTCTGAAAAAAAAAATAGAAAATGTTATCGTTGAAATCCCAACTTGAAATAAAATCACATCGTGCCGAACTGTCAACTTCCTCAATATATGAGTTGGCACATTGGGAAAAACTCGCTTTTCACTTATTGCTGGCATTAAGCCTAGCGTTAATTTTCTACGCTGCTATTGAGCCACAGATTCGAGGTGAAGATAGTACACTTGTTACCAAACTGATGGATTATAACTTTTATTATTAACCGCCTGCGATTAGGATGAATGTTGCTGGTACAAAGTTCACTTTTTTTTTTTTTTGTATATGTACATACACCGTATATATACACATATGCCCCTTTCACCACATTTTCGTGTCTGCACATTGACATTGCTAAATGTTCTTCTCGTCGTTCGAATCATTGTTCGAAATTATCTTTTCAATCTTCATGCCTGTAAATACCAATTTTTTTAATCCAACGAGTAAGTTTCAATTTCGAATAAATGGCATCTTACATCCCTTGGGTAAGAAGAGAACATTCTCACTTGGTCATAAGTTTGCTCAATATAAAGTTGCCCACCAACATGACCACATTGTAACGAATATTAATCGTCACATCGGGCAATAAAGAAGACTTTTGGTTATTGATTTTTTTCTACATCTTTTCTTCGACTCGACTTTCGATAAATATTGATCACTACTGCCATCGTGAAAGACGGGGATTTTTTTTTTGTGCACATACCGTATTAGCGAATTACAATATTCCCAAAGTAAACGTTGTCATGTGGATCAAACAACTTCTTTGAGAATATCAAATTCTCGTCTCGTTGTTTCGATAAACTACATTTAAGTCGCATACGTACATCGCAATATTGTATATACTGTATGGTACGTACAGCCCAGTATGATTATTTTTATCTCACAAAAGTAAGTCCAGTTTAGCCAAGAAAAACAGATAACCTAAAAACCACGTTATACCTGCTCCTGTGTTCGACAAGGGTAATTCTTATGTGATGATGTTTTCTTACCATATAAAGAATAATCTTAAAACTCCGGAAAACGTGCACATCCCGGTACGGCACATAATCAATACAGTATTTATCTTGAATAATATTTTAATTCTCCTTATAAATTATGCCATTTTAATTGATTCAATATAAATTAGTTAAAAAATTCAAAAGCGAATTTCGCCAAGAAAATTATTGTGATGAATAAATAACTATGGTTATAATCGTTTACTTGCAGAATTACTATTTGGAATTAAAAAATAAAAATACATCATACAACGTAAAATACAACATATGATAAATATCTTATGTACACAAATAATGAAAAAAAAAAAATTATTAGATTACAGAATAACAGTAATTATACAAAGTCTTTGGATTATGTATATCGCAGTTTCTTCTCTAATTCACAAATGTTTCCTCTAATTATTGTTTTTTTTTTAATACCAGTTATTTTGGGAATAAGGTCCCGCTGGAATTGTCGGTAGAACCGCCCCCGGAAGCACCCTCATTTGCGGATAGTTTCCATTCATGTTTAACGACGCGTTAAATTTCTCGGTTTCTTCCATTTTCCATTCGCGCCATCTCTTCGTTTCTATTACGCTGGAATCGAATTCCTCTTCGCCGCTACCTCCATGACCGTTATCTTCTCCGGCAATTTTGCGCGTGGCGCCCCATGAGAAATCTATTTAGAAAATAAAAAAAATTTTTTTTTTTTTAATACTTGTCAAATCGACTAGATAAAGATGAAGATTGCAAAGAAAAGTTACCATCGAAATGCCAAAACGCGTATAAAGGTAAGGCAAAATTCCACACCGGCATAGCAAGTATGAAAACGAGCATCCAAAGCACGTAGTTGATTTTATGTGAAGTTAAGATAACCAAGAATGCTTGGAGGAAATATTGTGCGATAATAAATAGGAAGGGTAGGACAACAGAATCACCTTGCGCGGCATAAATAATCAAGAGTAGAATGAACAAAAGTGAAGAGGGCAGAATTACTGTTCCAATCAGTTCGAGGAAAATTACAAACTGCATCGAACAGCAAAAGATGCCACAGAGTTGTGGCACCAAGATGAGTTCCATTAAATTATGTATGGTTGAATTAATCCATCGGCGACGTTGAGACAACAAAACTTTAAAATCTTCGGGTACCACGGTCTTACATATCGCTTTGGGTACATAAATCATTTTACGTTTCGGAAATGTGCGTAACATTAATGTGGTTAGGTAACGATCTTCCCCGAGAAGCAAGAGATTTTTTTGATGCAAAGTTTCAACGGTGTTAGAAGAATACACTTCAACGATGTCCGGATTAGCAAGGATAGGTACGGAGTATCCATTATACTTGGGCACCTTGATACGGTACATACAGAAGCAACCGGGCAAACATGTCACACCACCAAAGATCGATTCAAACGACTTTCCAAGATGATGCGAGATATAATATTCGAATACCTGGAACGAAAAGTCAGTAACCATGCTTGAAATTATTTCATAACGGCTGAAATCCATTTTAACTTACTTGAATCATAGTGACCCAACTCGAAGATTTGTTTGCAATTTTTGTTTCACCACAGAGCCCCATGACTTTTGGATCGCGTTCCATGGCAGCAACCATATGCCCAACGCTATCAGGTTTAACCTCCGTATCGGCGTCTACCATAAGAACCATTTCATACTTATCAGGTGTGGCACCAGTCAAAATACGAACCTTTTCGAATAGTTCGAATTCTAAAGGACTCATTCGTTCGTTAAAGAAAATGTGACTAAGCCATTTCATTAGAATAAGCTGAGAATCACGCTTCCCACGGTTTCCGGCTTTAGCTCCTTTTCTCTCTTGTGGTGTACCAACTTTATTAACGATGATCATTGGAACTCGATGAAAATCGACATTATAGTAACCTATAAAAACTTCTGCCATGTTATGTTGTTTAATGCCATCGCCTATAGCAAAATATGATTTGGCTTCCGGTGGAAGTGCGCGTTGATCAAACGGTTCTAATAAATCTTTACAAATTTGTGGTGTCGATTTGTCGTTTTCTGAGCCAGTGACATCACCATCTGCGATTACGAATAAAAGCTTATGCTTGTCCGAATAATCTCCTACAGAAAAACCGATCATACACGATAAAATTATTTTATCAACGTCATGATTATAGAACGAACGTTAGTATGCTAATCATTCAAGCGGGGGGAGGCCCCAGCGCCAAGTCACCTTGGCTCAGATGTTTCAGAAAGATATTGCGGGCTGTGTTGTGATCCCTGTCAATCTCAAAATCGCATCGAGCGCACTTGCAAACCTTTGCACCACCGAGATTGTCCTTTATATGTTTCCGCAATTTCCGCACGTTTTGGATGTGTAATGTTTATCCCTGAGTATCAACAATCGACCAGGGTACTCTTCGATCTTGTGCGTGAGATAATGTTGGAACTTGTAATGCGACCTTTATTAGATCCACCCTTGCTTTTGGATATCACATTTTGATATTTATCATATTTCTCGTGCATAGCCTGAAAACGCGCACAATGTCTCCTTGGATCTTACGCGTCTGCAATCTCTTGTCTTCCTTTTTTTTGTTTGCGGCAGTGACAATAGTTAGTAGATCCTCTGCAACTATTTCTTTGTCTGAATTTGTTGATTCAATACCCGTACCGAGAACCATGAGTTTGACATCGTGTTTCTGAAAAATCCACTCGACGAGCTCGTGTACAAATCGACACAATCGGTCCTCGCGGGTAACCATCATTTCCTCGAGATTTCTTGCGTACACTCATTCCAAAATGAACACGAAGCCTCATTGTTTCCAATTGAGACCAGACCCAACGTCGGTACGATCTCATAATCAGGAAATTTAGAAATGAGGCATGCACGCTGCCTTTCAAGGTCATCGTTCTGCTTCTTACTGGATACTCGTGCGTAACATGGTTTTTTCTTTTCCTTATAAACATTTGGTCGATGCCCATGGCGGAATACAAACATTTTCCACCCGGCATGATGACGCCCAAAACATCTCCACGTTCGTTCCATCTGCGAAGAGTGCTCGTAGATATTCCATAATTCTTCTGTATTTTGTTTGCTGGTTGGTAATTCGTACGTGTCTTTTCGTGTTTTTTTTTATTGTTTTTTTACACGATGATGCATTTTGAGATTGACAGAAAGTCTTTTTCACGACCTTTATATCTTCTGAAACATTTTGTCATATGATATGTGAACTCACCATGATGAAAATGTACATAAAGCGTAAATCCTACGAATGAAACGAAATGATGAATATACCTTGTTACAGAACATGACGTAATCTTATGTATCATGTAAAACTCACCATGCAAACATTACACATTTCAAAAAATTCATGAATATCTAGTTAGTATAGCACGTGATAATAACTTTGAAAGTAAATGTTGGATTTTTGTTCACCTGTACTAGCTAATGAATCCAGTGTGGTGCGCATGGATTTTTCACCCTCAGAGTAACATGTGACCAACAATAATATGCGAGAGATAGAATCATCCGTCTTCGGCGTCTTTGGAATCTTACCAAGCTTCCACGACAAAAACCAATCGAAAGTTACGGCTGATATGAATTTGATGAGTGTAATTCCGCTAAAAACAACAATCATCAAAATAAGAACCGAATTTGTGGCGAAGCATCCGATGGTGGTACCTTCTATTTGGCCAACTAAGAAATAATCTAAACATTTGGCCAAATTTTTTGTTTCTTGAGTACGAACGATATCTCTTGTCGCGTCTTTGCCGACAAGACCGTTGAGCCAATTAGTAATATTAGCGTTCCCAAGCCATTGTTCGGCGGCAGATAACTTGAGATAATTGGTGATGTCGTATACATGATCGTTATACACAAACATCTTACTAGAAACACTGGTAATATTGTCCCAAGTGTATCCTACAGACGCATCCAACGCAAGTGAATGTAAAGTTTCGATAGAGACAGCCGAAGTATGACAATGATATCTTTTATCATTCGCGTTCGCTAAAGTGCAGCCCGTTCCATTATTTGGAAGTATTGTACATCCGGAATTTACAGGTGGAAAGAAATCGGAAATATCCTGGCCAAATTTTGGAATGATGATGGGAGCTAGTTCTTCGTCATTAAAAGGAAGAATAGGTCGATGACTACCACTGGAAAAGTAAACTCCGGTGTTGTAAAGTTTCCCACGAACAATGTGTACTTTCATTCCAGTGACATTGGGACCATACAGTCGAAGGATGTCTTGTGGATAAAGAGGAACCTTTTTCGTGCACCCAAGAGAAGAAAACCCAAAGGTCAAAAATCCCATGAAGCAAGAAATACACAGGATAATAAAACATAGTGCCACTTTCTCACGCCATGCTTGTTGAACACTAGGATCCTTCATTTTTCCAACCACAGACAAACAAGGATCCAAAAAGCAAGCTGTGACTATCTGGGAGAATATCACCCATGGAGTTCTTTTATCTCTTGGTGCCATATCTTTAACATGAGGTCCGGTGGCTCGACGATCCGGCGGATTACTCAACGCTGTTCCACCAAGGCTCAAGTATTGAGTTTTACGACGTAGAGAGGTTCTCGGTTGAATCGTTTTTTTCTTAAACTCCGAATTATCAGTCATTACGATTCCTCTTGGCGCGGCATAAGGAACATCAAAATCACGATTATTGACCAGATAATTAATGGAATTTGTCCGTGGGGGAATATCAGGAATTTGTGTTCTACGCACTTTAGGTGTCTGCTGAGGGAAATCCGGAACAAAGTTTTCTATTAGATTTGCAACGTCATAGTGTCCAGCGTCTCTTGCAAGAACAACAGCCGTTTTTCCATTATCCGTTGTAACATTTGTATCAGCATTATGTATCAACAATAGTTGACAGACATCTAAACGACCAGAGAACGCTGCAAGCATCAAAGCCGTCCAGCCATACTATACATTATGAACAAAGAATGATTAGCCAAAGATTCAATATGAGTAGGAACGAACGTGTTGACCGAATTCACACCTGATCCTTGATGTTTACATTTGCACCTCGAGCCAACAAGACTTCCACTGTTTGCGCATGTCCTTCGTAAGACGCCAAAGTCAAGGAAGTTTTACCCGAATCATCTTGAGGATCCACATTGGCATAGCCTATATCGATAAGTATGCGACAAACGTCAGCGTGACCGTTATACGCGGCAATCATAAGCGGAGTAATATTTTTCTACGTATGTTCGTCAGAGACAATGATTAAAAACACTAGCATCGGGTAAGAATTATCTTATAAACAATGATTGCAACCTTGTTCCCGATCTCAACATATGCGTTTGATCGAATCAGTATTTCAACGACTTCGGCATTTCCTGCTTCTGCAGCTTGGTAAAGTGCCGTTTCTCCTTCATTGTCTGCAAAAATGGTGATTAGCTGAGAGACATCGCAATTCCAACCATGTCATAGTACCAACCTTGTAGATCGACAACCACTGTGCTAATGTTACACAGATATTTCACAACATCAGGGCAATTCTCACTCGATGCCACCATCAGAGGAGTCTTTCCATCCCTGTTCCTCAAATTGTTGATGTCATAATTGGTTTTACTCAGCGTAGCTCTGACCAGGCCTACATTATTTTGTGTTATGGCATTAAACATAGATGTTACAGGATTTGGTGGAGCGCCCTCTTGTGGTGGAGGAGTTCGGGTTGGAGCTGGAGGTACTGATGTAGGCGCCGGAGAATAAGGCGGTTGGTATAAATCATCGTCGATAGGCATTTTCCGCGCGAATTCCCAAAGCGAATGATCTTTTCTCGCTGCCTTGCTTTTTCTTTAAATGAAATGATGAAAATTTGTCAAGTTGTTGAAAATAAAAAAATTTTCTTTGTGGTCGGAGAGAGAGAGAGAAGGATTACGCTTTGGCTTAATCGAAAGGGGCACGCGTTGTTATCTCGGGATTGTATCACTAAAAATTTGTGCTAACTTATTATGGTCACATGTATAATAAGTCATAAAAGCTAATGATACTAACCCATTTTAGCAATACTCTAATTTAACGTTATTCTTGGAATCCAAGTTTACGCTTCATATAAAGCGAAAAAAAGTCGGATTTTCATTATGTATGTTTCTCATTGCGTAATTATTAAGTTCTATCATGAGACTTTTTTTCATTATAAGTTCTTTTATGTAACGTATGAACATACACACTCCTACATCTAAAAATATCATTTGCCGACTTTAGGCGATCATTTTTTTACTTTAAAGAAGTTGGGGGTGAATTGGGGGGTTGTGGAATGAAAATATGCAAAAGAATGAATTGATCTCTTGATGATCTTATGTTCTGAAAACCTGATTCCCTTATTATACTTATTATAAACATATTTGTATTGTCATTGTTCCTAGACTATTGACAAAGTACGTAATAAGTAATATTAAGGGTGATGTGTAACCAGCATAAACCGAATTACCGCAGAATTACATAGCATAGAAAATTGTTCTGTTACCTTTTATAATAAATTTCTTCTAAATACATATGGTATAAATAAATTTTGAATTAAACTTTAATTTCTCTGCAAAAAAAAAGTTATTTTTAACCGTGCGCATTGCATCTTTTTAATTTTGAGTTATTAATAATATCTTGAAACATTTTTTAAGACTTTTAATAAAATCAGATTTTTACGACACTTATAAATCATCAAGTCTAATTTAAAATCATTTATAACGACTTATATATATATAATTTAATTATATTTTCAAATCTTTTATCTAATTGATAATGTATCTATTAAATTTAATTAAGTTTTATTGTTCTTATATAATTCCAGAGTTATTAAAAAAAAATTTTTTTTACTAGCACTTTTATTATTAAATTAAATATAATATAATAATGAATATGCGATAAAATTTCTTGTCAAACTTAAATAGAATTTCTTGTTACAATTATTATTTAAAAAATATACATCTTTAATTTAAATGATTAAATTTAAATATTTTTGAATTTGTATTTTTATTGAAATAAAAACAAGTATTTTATTTTTAAACAGTTAATTTAAACTAAAGTATATATATTTGTAATAAATATTTTATTTTATAAATTATGCATATATATTAACAATTTTTAAATAACATTTATCTATTTTTAATTATGACAATGTGATTTATATAACTTGATGCTTTTTTTTTATAATATAAATTATTATTAACAAGTGATTCAATTTTATTTATATTTTTAAATATTGATTTTGATGTTTCAATATATTATTTAAAAAAAATTTTTAATATTAAAAAATAAAATAAAAAACTTATAAACCAAAGATTTAAATTGTTAAAATAAATTTATTATCATTGAATATCAAACAAATATTTTTTAAAAAAGGAATTAATAAAATTATTATTTTATTTATTTAATTTCATGTTATTTATTACTTATGTATAAATAATATTATTAAAAAGTTATATCTAATATTTAATAAATAATAAAATCTTTTATAATACCATAATTAATATATTTTTTTTTATTAATACAAATTTTTATTGTTTACTAAATGAAATTGAAATAGAAACTTAAATTTCAATTATATGTACATTATATCACTATAATAAAAAATTAATAAAATAGAATTTTAAAAAAAATATTTAAATTTAATTTTCTTATATACTGTGTATAGCTACAATTAATTCAAATTTAATCATAAGAAACGAGACTTACTGTATTTATTTCGTAAAATAATATGAAACGAGGTTCTTGTTTTTAGAATTGAATTCATGACTTTTTTGCTGCTGCACTGTTAATAAATAATTTGAAACAAACTTTATCATAAATTATTGACTTTTATAGTGTGTATTTTAATCTAGAATACAGTATTTTCTTAAGTCGCTCGGGAACAAAGTGAAATTTAATTTGTGTGTTACAGTAGTAGACACGTGTTTTCACGCTATTCTAAAGAACATTTTGCCTTTAATATTGCGCGTCTTTCAAAAACACCGAAAAAGATGTCATTTATCATTTATGCCTTAAACTACTTGATATTGGAGATGATCCACAAGGAAAAAAACTTTCCACTTGTGGGTAAGATAGGACACGGGTACGTGACGCGACGTCATATTACGTAATGGTTACCTGGGAAAGGAGAAAGGGGTGAAAAGATCTAGCGTATTATGTAAGTGGCATGGGTGAAAAAGGGTAAACACGTTAAGGATATAAATAGGGTAGCAAAGAGACCTTTGTGTTCGTACGTTTCATAAGTAAACTCTTGCCGCTACTTTACTTGTGCCCCGATACTTGTAACTTCAATAGTACCACTAATTGCGAAACGGGAATTTTGCACAATTCCGAATACAGTAGTCGAACAAGATGAAAAGTTACAAGTAAATCGACGTCGGTCAAATTGGAACCACCTCTAGAGTAAAACCTAATCACCAATAAAGAACTTATTTTATCGACCATAGCGTTAGAAAAAGCCTGGAACACATACTCATCAGTTACGATAATGATAATATTGACATGAAATAAAAGTCGTTAAGAAAGAACCATATCCACACTATAAATATACAGTCGAAGGTTACTGAGTTATTGAAGATCAAATATATTACATGATTCTTTGGATGTTCTGAATACGGCTTCCAACATTGATACCAAGAATGATCTGGGCGGAGTGGATTTCATCCAATATCAAAAATAAGCAAGTATTTTTGGATGACATGTCAGAGAATAATTTGCATGATTATTCAAAATAAAGTAATATTGATATATTATTAGAAAGAGGAAGCCATTCTCTTTGTGTAAATATCGGAGGATATAAATATAAAATGTATAACGGTTAATGGGGAAAGGCGACGTGATAATAGCCGACGTAAGTCTTAATTTAAATAAAAATATTTATAATTAATTATTTCTAAATAGTAATGGTATATTAATTCATTTATTTTATACACATTATTTATTAGTTTTAAGCTTTTCTCTGAATTGCGTCACGAATAGTTAATGACGAGGATCTTTGTGATATTTTTGATAACAATATTTGTATGGTATTGAATAAATACCATGAGACCAGAATACAAATTTACCAAAAGATCAACTGACGCTGGAATACAGTACCAGATTTATTTACCATTATAATGGGAAATTAATTCTGTTAATTGAAATATTGGAAATATGCTATTCCCAGAATTTTATAAAACCAATGTGAGGGCAAAGATCGTAATTTGGAAAATTTATATACATATAATATATCTTACTTGTGATAAATATTGATTTTAAAACACCAGTAATTGTACCGTCCGAAGTCAGACCCTCGAAATCGAAAAGAGGTACCATTGAGATCCTGCCCATAATTGATGAATTTACTGACTGTTTTGACAAATTCAAGGAATCTAAAAGTTGTCTGTGGGATGAAACCCTATATAAGGGGACGAATGAAATGATGGAAATTACACCGAAAAAATATTTAATGAGTTTAGCTTCAGCTAGAGATTGGCAAGACAGAGAGTAAATGGCAAGGGAAGGTTACATCATTGAGGAATCGTCTAGCAAATTCGCCTCACTTATTACCTAATGCAGTTAAAGGAATCGCTAACACCCTCAGTAAGGAAGTAGGAAGGAAATAACAATGAGAAGAGGTTCATAAAAAACGAGACGAAGGATGAGTTGGAAGAAGTGCGAGATGAACAATTGGAAGAGGCAATAGCAAACGAACAAGGTATTGTCGCATTATTACAAATACGCCCGCCATTATTTACTAATTAGTGTATAGGAGTGAATATGTCGGCAAATAATTTTAAAACTTGGCATATGAATAATAATATTATTAATAAAAATGCATTATGTACATTTACAAAGGCAGTTATAAAGTGGTTGGTCGCAATTAATATCTATTCATCTGAATATAGCTAATGGCTAGTATCGATTGACATTTGCTTGGAAGATTAACTGAAACAAATGGAAATTATGTTAATTATGTTGTATCCATTTTAAAATATATTTGCAATCATAAGCACCATTATTGAAACATTTTCCTAAAAGGACTTGAAAGATTTTTCAACAAAATTAAAAAATAATTCTGGAATAAAACTCATTAATACTTTAAGAAAGAACATAACATATGGTTCATTTTGTGTTGCATTGTATTTTAAGTAGTTACCTAACCCGACATAATCAAACAATTTTTATAATATAATAAAAAAAAACCTTAAAGTAATTGAATTAAATTTGTATATAATTATATATTTGTTAAAAACATATAGAAAGGTTATTATATACGATAGTTTTAAGTAATCAATGTATATTTATATTATTTTTTAATTTCAATTAATTGAATAGAATATCATGTGACATTATTTCGCGTAAAAATTACTGATCGTTTTGTGTTGCTAGTGTTTCGTGACTGTCGTGTATTTACTAAGACTTTTTTTAGCAAAGGTGTGAAATAATAATTTCAGATGCTTAAACGATATATAGGATTAGAACAAGGTACACCACAAATCTTCATATCGTCTTCCCAGTATAACTTTTTTTTCTCGTTTATTAGCGACCACTGGCATCCATGCTATGCAGTTTATATTTTTTACTTGTTGGTTGTGTACGATACATTGAAATGATTGGTTGTTAGCGACGGTTGGCTTCGTGTTAGCAATCTTGCAATATTAGTTGGATTTGCTTGTGCTTATAGCTGTTAACTTGCTTATTAGTTGTACGGCCCACGACGGCAGTTAGTAGGACTTACTGTTTTAACCTATTTATTTATTTAATGAGATTTGTAATATTTTTTTTATTCTTCATCTTAATTATTATTTTACTTGTGATGTACTTAGATCATTATGCTCTAACCTTTTTTTTTTTAATATTTGAGGAATACCCTTAATGTTTCCAGATTTTACAAATGTCATTAAAAAGGATCTCTAACCTAATATATGGAAATTGCAACCGTTCAAAGGATAATTATTTTTTACATCAGAATATCTAACGGGAATTTAATGGCGTTAAGCTATTGCTATTAAAAAAGAATTCAGTGTAATCGAATATTTTCTTAAAATTACAGTATATACAGTATTTATAGTAAGAACAATAATTGGTACGACGTTAAGACGAAGTGTAACACGTGATAACTCACGTGTAAAGATACGATTTAAAAACGATTATCGGAAAAATTTTTAGTATCGATAGCATTAGATGATGCGAGTTTTCAAAAGGAAACTTTTCGTGAAAGAAAACTCAATTTCCCTTTCAACAACTTTTCTGATACCAAAATTACGCATAATACACGCGACAAGATGTTATTCAGCTACCCCAAGCGAGGAACAAACGCATTCAATTCCCCATGACAATGACGATAATTTGCTAATATCTTCCGAAAGACAAGTCAGAAAGATAAAGAATTATTGGTTCCCAAAACCTACATTTATTACCACGACACTTTTTCCCGTGTTCTCTGGTAAATTCTTTTATTTACTCGTTTTTTACATAAGATGGTGTACTCAAAATCCCTATATAATTTATAATATTTAGATTCGATGAATGAACATTTGTTCAATGCAATTGCGGCTGATTGCATTAAACGATATTACGAGATGCGAGGTCGAAAAGTGCTATTAAGTGTAGGGACCGCTGAGTATGGGCATAAGGTAATGAGTATATAATCTATTACAATACTATAATCTGAATTAATTGTATCTCTTGTTGATCTCATATCACCAATATTAGGTACAGCAGGCTGTAGCAGAAAGCGGGTTAACTGCACAGGAGTTTTGTGAGAAAAAAATGATCGGATATAAGGTGCGTTTTTGTCGTTTAACTTCTTAAGCGCTTCCCTTACAAATTTCTCAAATCTGTACCATTTGACACAGGAGGTTTTAGATGCTGCAAAAGTAATGTACACGGATTTCATTCGCACCACAGAGCTCAGACATGAAAAGGCTGTGACATATCTTTGGGTAATATACGTTTTTTGTAATTATATTCGTATTAATGTTAAATGACTCGCGTTGTCATTACAGAACAGTCTTGTTGAGAGTGGTCTAATTTACAAAACTAAACAAGAAGGATGGTATTCGTCGCTGAGTCAATCGTTTTACATTGAATCCAAAATAAAGAAGGTAAAACATTTACACACCGGAAAGGAAATGATTGTAGGTTGACGCATCCCTTCTTACATGCAATCTTGTTTACGCTAAACGGTGAGATTTCTAAAATTTTATCGATTTTTCGGAATACTCATTTTTTCTTATTTTTTCTTATTGATTTTCTATTTAAAGATGTCAGATGTGAAAAATGCTAAACCAGAATTACTTGAATGGGCTTCTGAGGAACATTATAATTTTAAACTTCCGAGGATGCACTACAAGTTGAAAAAATGGCTGGATTCTAAAAAACGTTAGTATCTCGTGGCACCTTCATAATATATTCTTATATGGCACACACATACTTTTATTCATTTTTTTCTTATGTTCACAGTCGTATTTGCACCAGATAAACCTGAAAATTATTTATATGAAATAAAAAAACTGTTAAAATCTTTACGTGTCTCGAGGCCTCGTTCTCAAGTAGACTGGGAAATACCTGTGCCTAACGATCCGGAACACACTATAGAACCAATTTTCGAAGTATATGTCAATTATTTAACCGTAGCCGGGTATCCCTGGTCAAACAAATCTGATAGAAATCATTGGCCTATTGATATTAATGTATGTAATATAAAGTCAATAAAGTAAGTGTTTATTACAATTCATTATTACCTTGCGTTTATTAAATAACATCCATTATTCACGCTTGAGATGTAATTAATTTTATGTTGTGACTTAGGACCCATGCGGAAACAGGACCCGCTCTATTGTTGGCCGCGAATATCATGCCAGTAAAAAAAATATTTGCAAACTCTTTTAAATCGTACTCTTACAACGCGGAAACAATGAATGTTATACATCTGTACGGGTTAGATGCTTATCGATACGTTTATATGGCTTACGGCAATAACCCGGAACCGCAAGGTGAATATTTAAGCGATTCATTAGATGTTCATTAATTAAATGCTAATCTTAACTGTTGTCTATTATCAATATAAAGATTTTTCGTTGGAGAGCTTCAATATTCGGTATCACAAGGATTTGGTTAATCAGCTCGGAAAGCTAATTAACAATTGTTTGAAACCAAAATTTATGTCATCACCGTGGACACCCAGATACCCACAGTATACAGACGATCAAATAGTTGACGAGGATGTGCTTTTGCATAAGACTTTATCAACATTTTCAGGTACTAACTTTCACAAATTCTTTAAAAGTCATATATGCTGTTTGTTACATATCTTATTAATGATCACGTACTTTTTGATTTAGATGTCGTCGAAAAATATTATGAAAATTTTGATTTGGCGAATGCATTAAAACATATAATTTATGTCATTACATTGGTAAATTTACATTTTTAAGGCGTCTCTGCAGTCATTGTGACCATTGTGAATTTACTACTTTCAAATTTTAGGCTAATAATCATTTTGAGGAAATATTACCGTACGAAGTTGACTTGATTAAAGATCGTCACATCATCAATAGAGCGTTATTTTATTCATTCGAGACGTTACGCATCTCAGGTATCCTGTTGATGCCGATAATGCCTGATAAATCCACAAAACTACTAAACATTCTTGGAGTGTGGAATAACGAGCGAAAGTGGGAAGATGCAAAATTTGGTGCAGGATGGACATATGTTGATGGGAAAGGAAGGAAATGGGCCGATTACTTATATCAAGAATTATATCCGTGTGTTAACGTAGGTTTAGGTGGTTCTGGACTGAATAAACAAGAGTCTGTTGAAGAGAGGTTAAAATTAGTAAAGGGGAAAAAGATCGTTTTTGGAGGTGAAAAAATTAATGGCAAGAATGATATCCAGAGCGAAACTTCTGGCACGGACAAAGAAGAAGGAAAGGTTAATCAGGACGACAGATCTAGATTTATAAAACCTGTGGAGAAGTCTAGATATGATTCGTTCCTAACCCTTTCAATGCAAAAATTGCGTAAAGGAGATATAAAAAAGAACATTAGCAAAATCCTTGAAATAAATGATACAACCGATGATTTGAACAGTTAAAAATTAGATATTCACTTAATGAGCTTACAAGTTACTACAGTTAGTCCACGAAATTGAAGTGTGATTATCTTTAACAAGCATTCAAAACATGAGCAAAACTCGATAATTAATATATGTAATAATTGATGCTATTGATTTATACTCATTTCTTGAAGTTTTTCGACACGAAATATATTGTTTCGAAACCATGTTGCATTTAACCACTTTTTATTACATGTATTAAAGAGATTCATTATAAACATATTCTCTAACTTACTGTAATATACAATACAATATATACACTTTGCTTTCGATGGTGTATAAACTACACAGCAATAGATTTACCGATTTTAGGAAAAAATTCGTTACAAATCTGATAACAGATGTTATGATTGTAGACAACATATGGTTGGTGTCCAAACCGCAAATGATTTGAAAGCAGACACGCATTTCTATTATGGACTGGTGGAAATCTTGAGATTGATCAAAAAAGATTAATTGAGGCCTAAATACTACGATGAGAATTCTTGGGGATGGATTGAATACACCAGATGAAAAGGTCAATATACAGTATACAGTATCAGGAAGGAAATTTTCATACTAATCATCAACACGCACGCGCAGGTTGGTACGTAACATTATACACTTCAGCATCAAATACTATATATGCTTACAGTTTATGCAATATTAATGTGAGAAATCGAAGTACTCACCATTCAATTATCGCGCACATAATGAACATTTGGTTATAAATATATGTTCAGATCTTCGGTCCTAATGTTTTAAAGAGCACTACAGATCGTTACGTTAAATTGATAGAAATATGTTGGCAAAAGGAGCCGTCTAAACACTGTCAAAAATCTAAAACACATTAAACGAGCATGAATTACGGTTTCATCAGTAAAATTAAACATTAATGCTTTTTTTTTTGCATTCAATATACAGTATAGCAAATTTAATGTGCAATTAAATTATGCGTAAATCGCGATACTAGGAACGCGTGATTGATTTATCCACACAAGATTTATTTATATACTAGCGTAAAATGTATTGATAGAAGCGATAGATGATGAGTCTTTTTTTGGAGCAAGCATGATGTTTTAAATTCAGTTAAGTCTTTATGTGACAAGAGAACAGTAAAATCATAGCATGACCAGCGAACTTCGTTCCACGAATGGTTCCATGTTTTCACTATACAGTAATTATTATTCCCGTTTAATAATTTATTACACGCATCATGAAAAGTTTGAATGATTGAATAAATACTAAAACTAAAATCGAAAATTATATTCGGAGCAGTATCGTAAGTCTCGTGAGCGATAATCCTTAATACGTGTCCACTATTGTGTTTTAGTAGTATTGGGTAATTTTCATTTCTTGCGTTGAGAGACGTGGATCGTTCTCTTGGCGTGAGAAATAAGAGTCATCTCACAATCGAACGAGCGGAATTGAAAATGGACGAGTTAGATTTCTTAATATTATCACAAATAGGGAATACACACAGTATTTATGTTTATGATCACCCCATTCGTTCATGCTTTGGGAGATCTTTCAGTTCTACTTCAATCCGAACCAAATAATTATTTCCTGTCTAAAAGCTTCTAGTATATAACCATTTCCATTCACGAATTCTTCTTTTATCTTCATCAGCCTAAAGAATGTCGAAAAACAATGCATTGGATCGACTCGCAAATTTACGAAAACACTTGGTCCAACCTCCAATGGGCACTATCGATTTGACTAGAGAAAGAGAAAATTCTAGTTTCGATGTTCAGAAAATGAATTGGTTATTTGAAGGAGGAAAAGAAAAAGCAAAAGCCATGGTAGATTTCGATTATGAAAGAAAAAATTTTTTTTTCTTATTTTCACATATTGTTATTTTTAGGCGGATGCATACCAGATAATACAACGCGATCCAGACCTTCATTTCCCCAATGGTCATCCTTTCGATATGACTAGACCAGAGCAGCGTGAATTGTAGGAGTCTTATTTTGCTTTTTTTATTTTTCATCTTTTAATTGCTAACGGAGACTCGTTGTCCATTTATACTAGTGTGATGAGACAAATTTTACGTTATCAAAAAGTTCGTCAGACAATAAAAGATCCTTTATTGTATAAAGCTTTAGAACTCGCAATGTGGTACGTACTTTCGAATTTCTTTCGATCTTTGAGTTCTCAATTAATGAAAACTTATATCTTGAAAGTACATATTCGGAAACATTTTCCATGAGAATTTATGTTCATGACACCTTATTTCGTCAAGCGTTTGAGCTATTTGGAACAAAAGAACAATATGGTATTATAACCTGACAGTAAAAGGAATGTCATGAAAACAATTAAAAAAGAATGACTTTCGCTTTCTTCTTAGACCGATGGATTGATGATATTCGTAATTGGAGGGTAATCGGATGTTTTGCAATGGTATGTTTAATCTCTATACGAAAGTTTCTGATTTAATAAATGTGTTTTAACCATTTATCTTTAAACTCGATTAGACCGAATTATGCCATAGGTGTAGTATTCAGAATATTCTCGTGATAGAATAATAATGATAACAGACGTACACCCATTCTTATGATATTGATAAATATCGTAGTTCCTTTTTACGGGGCCTAGAAACAACCGCAACGTATGATAGGGAAACGGATGAATTTGTCATTCACTCCCCAACGTTAGGGGCGACCAAAGTGTAAGAATTTGAAAATCAAATACTTTGGAAAGATAAATTACAACTATCATTAACTATCATAAAATAGATGGATTGGGATGGCAGGACAGACGGCAACTCACACCGTGGCCATATGTAAAACAATTATTGATGGGAAGGATCATGGGATAAATTGGTTTGTGGTGCAGTTGAGAGATTGTAAAACAGGTAGACTAGTTCCTGGAGTTGTGGCCGGTGACATTGGAGCAAAATATGGTCGAAATGGGTTAGATAACGGATGGATTCAATTTTCTCATATACGAATTCCTAGAGAAAACATGCTAATGAAATGGTCTAAAGTGTCTAAGGATGGAACATATACTCCTTCACCAAACCCTGCATTATCTTATGCTACCCTTATTGGAGAACGACTAAGTGTACTTTTCGGAACACAAATTGTTATAGGACAGGCTTTAACTATTGCTTGCAGATACGGATGTGTAAGAAGACAGGGAGCTGATGACGAAAAAATCATGGATTATCAGACTCATTATGTGAAATTAATGCCTGGAGTTGCTAGCGTTTACGTGATCAACCTGTTGTATAGGTAATTCGTTATTCCCTAAGTACATTAGATTAATTATTGATCTCTTACGATATTTCGTACTGCAGAATTATACTCAATCGGTGGGAAAGTACCTTAAACTTGGTACATACGAATCAATCTGAGTTCATCAAGAGAATTGGAGATTTTCACGCCACATCAACAGGTCTTAAGGGGACACTAACTTGGTGGGGAAGCGAAGTACTTGAAAGAGTTCGTCGATCTATGGGTGGACATGCATATTCGGCTTACAATGCCATTGGACCCGCAATTGGAGATTGGGGTGTGGTGACCACTGGTAAGTGAATTTGTGCTTTTTTTTTCCTAACGATTGGTTTTTAAATTCATTTTTTTTACGTAGGTGGTGGAGATAATTTTGTCCTTTTGCAGCAAACAGCGGTATGTATAACAAAGACCAAATCCTTTTTACATTGGACTGATGTTTATTGATCTAAACAATTATTTGTACTAGAAATATGTATTGGGTGCACTTAAAGATGTATCTCAAGGAAAGAGGGTCGATGGATCAGTAGCTTATTTAAATGATTTAAAGATTTTTTCGGAAATCTCTAAAAGCAATCTATCTGACGAAAGGCAATTATCTGATCTGGATTTCACGCTGGAATTGTTCACATGGTTGGTTGTTCAAAAGGTAATGATTATTTCGGATACCTTTTAATTCACTTCCTTCTAATTCAAACTGATTATTATTATTTTTCTAGCTTCAACATTTAGCCGTAACATTATCAACCTCATCATCAGATCCAGCAACTTCGTGGAATTCTAATCAAATGTTAATTATTAAATTAGCACAACTTCATACTTATAGGTTGACTTTATTTGAATACAACATTGGGCTCAAGGATCTCTCAGATCCTTCGTCTAAATCAGGCTTTCAGCCTAACGAATATCGAGATTTAGTACCTATCCTTAAAAAGATGGGTCAATTATGGTCTGTTCATTTGATCAATGAATACCTGGATTTATTTTTGGAGGAGGGATATTTCAATAAGGAACATGCTAGAATGGTAAGAAAGGTATATCTGGAGATGTGCAAAGAGACCAGAAAAGAGGTGATACCATTGGTTGACGCATGGGGATATCCGGATTTCGTTTTGAAAGCACCTTTTGGAAGGTATGACGGTGATATTTACACAGGTGAGCAAACATTTTCGGTTGGCCTGATTCTTTTTCTTATCATAACAAATCAATTATATATATTCTCTTAATCACTTTAACAGCATACATTGATACAATTAAGGCTGCGCCTAATTGTCTCGGAGTTCCAAACTATTGGAAAGATTACATCAAGCCACTTACAAATCCTGATTCGTAGTTTATTTTAATTAACTATTAGCATAGTTTGAAATCTATTATTTGTATTTGTTTGTTTAAATCTAATGTATTTGGTTAATTTATATAGAATTTCCTTTTCCAAAATTATTTATCTGATTTCTTTTCTTACACTCTAATAAAGTAATGATTTAACTTTAACAAAAGAAAGCAATGTTACTACTTATTGAAGCGAAATTAATTTTAATGATCGACTCATATTATATACTTCTATTTGTTGTTTCAAGAATATTATATATTCAACATTAGGCTGTATTTCTTCATCAGCCTTCGCAAATATTGGGATGATATTTTAAGATTCCTCTCTTAATTAATAAGCAAAATTTATTAACATGTAATTTTATTTTATTTATTTTGTAAGAAGGAATCCAAGAAATAATAATAATAACTATAATCAAAAGTATCAAGCCATTATTGAAAAAAGAGCTGTCTTGAATAAAATTTTTAATGATATTATTTCAGTACTATATTTACTATAAATTTAATAAAGTGATTATAACCCATGTATTAAATTTATTAAAGTCAATACCATTACAATACCATTTTGATATTGGTTCAAATCCTAGTCTTGATTAATTATTAATATGCAATCTTAGAATTTTTAATATATTTGATATTTTTAATACAATAAAACATTTTTTGATTTTAATATATACATAATAAATTTTATTTAATAGTAAATTTATTTATCAAGCAAGTAATTTACATGTACAGTGCCCCCCAATAAATGAAGGACCACTTAAAAATTATTAAAATTAATCGGAAATAGTTTCTATATTTCAAACT